ATACAACATTATTATTATTCTATCTTTTAACTAGTATTGTATTTATATACTACTACACAGCAAAGTATTTTAATTTATATATAACATAGTCTGCATACTTATATACATATATTTGTATTTCATAGAATCTTGCCACTGTTCTGATTATTTAATAACAATCCGAGAATACAATATTGATCTTAAATGACTTTTTTATGACCATAATTGTCTGACCATGTCACCACTTTTTTTTAATCTTAAATTTAAATAAACACATACTGTACCACGGTATACAATAGAAATCATGTAAAAAAAATTAAATTAATTAAATTATGAGATTTTGAATATATTAAATACAAAATATTATTTAAATTTCATGAAAGTAATATCATAGTGTGAGCAAAACATTATTGCATATTCAATTACTATTGAATATGCAATACCACTCCACTACCATCGTCAGTTATCTATTGCAGGCAGGCAATCATTGATATAGAGGAGTAAAAATTCAATGTATGCAAGCTAAAACATTGTGGAATGAACCGTAACAGTACTACAAAGTAAAATATAAATAAAGATAAGATCAGAGTGCAGTATTTATGCCACTAAGGGGAGAATGGAATGAATTTAGAATGACAAAGATAAATTAACATGAAGAAGCTGTTTGTTCAGTGAGGGCTGCTCCCACTGAATATGCAAGGATTCTTTAATTTTTAGAATTTGGGTTGTAGAGGCGGAGTCCAGTATCGTGAAACAGTCCTCATTGGCTGATTGTTTACAGTGAAGTGAACTTTTCAGATGCTTTAATATATGCGAGTTTCCATCCAGTGTTAGGTGCTCACGCATGCGTGTAGAGAAATGTCGACTTGTTTCGCCAACGTAACAAGCATTACAGCCGGCACACACAAATTTGTAAACGACACGCGAACGGAGACCAACTGGGATGGGATCTTTAGCTGAAAACAAATTTTAAATTTTAAATGAGGAAAATACAATTTTTAAATTTAAGTGATCACAGAATTCATTCGATAAGGCACGGATTTTCTTACTAAGGACTTTGGAAAATGTGCCGACATAAGGTAATTTGAAATAAAAAGTGATTGGTGTATTTTCTTTAGTGTTATCCAGTGTACTTTTGCATTTACATTGAACAGAATTAACATAACGAAAAATAATTTGATCAATGAGGTATGAAGGAAAACAATTTCTCTTAAGGATGGTAGTTAATGCCTTGGTATCATAATGAAAGCCCCTCCAACTATTATTGATTTTAAAAGCCCTATCAACTAACGTGCGAATAAGACCGATTTTGTAACTGAACGAACAAAAACTGAAAAAATTAATAAGTAAACCGGTATATGATTTTTTCCTAAAAACTAAGGTCTGAGGTGGCCCATCCTTAATGTTGGACACCAAGACGTCTAGGAAAGGAAGCTTTTTCCCTATTTCTTTTTCCATGGTGAATTTAATGTTGGGATGGCGGGAGTTAAGGTAATCAAAAAATAAATGAGCATCCTCTTCTTCATTAAAAACACAAAAAATATCATCCATATAACGTTGGTACAATAACACATTGGGACCCTTATATTGTTCATGCCAAATTTTCTCATGGTGTCCCATGAATAAGTTGGCGAGAACTAGGGGCTTTGTGTATAAGGCCATAACTTATTGGATTAAATACAGGCTTTGCCTATGATGAAGATACTATCTGTTGTGTTGTTTTTGAAAATTATTAGCTGGCTGCTGTTCAATCGTTCTTTTGGCAATATATATATATATATATATANTATATATATATATATATAATTATATATATATATTAATATTATACCATTCTTTTTTATATCAATTTATCATTTCACATTAAATACAATATCTGATGTCAGACTTTTTCCAATATATAATGGAATATAATAAATACAAATACATGTCACTACTTTTGATGTTATTCTTTGACTATGCAGTACAGTAAACATTTTTAAAGGAACAAAACATGTTTTACATGGTGGTCACCTTGAAATTTAATATGGCTGCTAAATGACCTTGACCTA